GAAGATTTTATAAAGAGCCCATTTCACTTGACTAATATCTGCATTTCTTCCAAAGTCAAAATATCTTTAAAAGTTTGATACTGAATCCAGCAACATGTAAAAAGGATTATATACTTCCTGGGCTTATAATGGAGTTCTGGTGTGGTGTTGTGGGTAATGAATGCACCAGACTGCAAAGCTGTTTGAACTGTGAGGTAGGCAGTTAACACTTAACAGCAACACTTAACACTTATTAACAACAGTTAACAACAACAGTGCTTATAATGACATGTTGTTAAGTGCCATAGAGTCAACCCATAGCAACCCAGTGTAGGGTTTCCGAGGAGCAGCTGGTGAGCTTGAACCACCTGAACCACCAACCTTGCAGTTCAAATGACTTTGCAGTTTGACGCATTAGCCCACAGCGCCACATGAGGATTCCTTATAATGACACACATCCCAGAAAATATGTATTATTCTTACATATTAATTTCCATAGGTGCTCTTCTTTAGTTTAGGTGAAGTACCATGAAATATGAACATGACTTTTTTAAAAAATAATTGTTCGTTGTGTTTTTGTTATAACTAACAGCCCCCATTTACCATTTGAAATATTATAGCATAGTTCACTCTGCTCTCCCCTTTCCCCCCACCTCACCCTATGGAAAAAATAATAAATAAACTTCTTACAGAAAAACCTGAAGTCCAGAACGACCCAAGGACACCTGAACAAACAGGATAAAACAGCCCATCCATACAACCAAGATAAGGGTTTATTGGTAGGTATACTCCCACTTAGAAGATAAGGGTCTGCTGGAATTTACCACCCAAGCTGACAAGACAAGTCTGTGTGTTCTAACCGCTCTATGTTTCTTGTATAAAACCCTGTTCCCCTGCTCACTTCGGGTCAGAGTGATTTGGGCTTGAGCTGACACTTTGTCTGCCGGCAACAAACTTTGCTGTTGTAAGTTTTCCAAGTTGAATTCTTTCTGACTCCCGCTGCTGCAAAATTTTGGAGGCCCCAGCAAGATGTCAGTCTAGCCTTTTTACTTAATTTCACCAGCCTCCCTCCATGCGGGCCAGCCCAAAGGCCCAGGGAAGAAGAGGAACCACCTGAAGATGTTTCAGGGCTTCTCCCTCGACTATCAGGCTGACCCGCATGGAGTGGACATGGACCCAAGTCTGATCAACTCCGAAGAGCAAAGTCCTGTCTGGGTCTTTGGTGAGTCCTGACTCTTTTCTGTTAATCTAAGTTCCCATTGTTCAGATGCAAACGGAAATTTGCCTGGGACTTCATTCCACCTGACCTGGGACTTCAGTCTGCCTGACTGTGGCCACACAAGTATACCTGTCTGTGTCCATCCTGTCACCACATCTATTTAACATTTATATGTCTTTCATTGTCTGTGTGAATGGATGCCTGATTGTTTGCATATGTGAAGTTGGTTCCTGCTTGCAGGGACCTGGTCCGAGCAGCAACATGGCAAATAGCCACAGAGTCTGATTGGGCCCTCACCTGCAGTCCCGTGGTGTCATAAGGCATAACAGTGACTCACCTCCATATGGGAGGCTGCCCTGGCCCTGGATCATGGGTGCACCTTAGCCAAGACAGACCTAAGTTCCCAAAAGGGATGAGAGGGACGTGGCCAGGCAGGCAACTGAATAAGAATCCCCTCCCCTGTAACCTACATCTTAGATTCTTTTGTCTTTAATGAACTATTCATTCTGCCTCACAATTGAGTTCCATATCTGTCTTTCTGTCATTGTCATTCTCGCTTTAGGCCTCTGGATGGTGTCCCCTGAAGAGTGGACCTATCTCTCCAAACTACTCTTAGTTACCTGTTTCTTTCCTGTTATCTTTGCCTTTTCAAGGCTCATTGTCTCCCTTAATCCTTGCCTGTCTTCAGTGTCCCATCTCTGCCTAGACCAATTTCAACTCTTTTCATCTTCTATCCTCCACAAACTCCAGGCCTCATCTCCCTTTGTCTTTGATCTTTTTATATGACCTCCTCCTCCAGGGACCTTCTGTCACCACTCTCTTGACGAGATCAATTTTTATTTACTCTGTCTTTTCCTCCTCTTATAGTTTTCCTGCCATTCCCTTACTCCTTGCCATGGGCCAGTCTCAGTCTCAAGACACTGTCCTTGACTGCATGTTAAAAAAAAAAAAAAACTTTCCCAGTGATGACCCATGACCCCCGGGAGGCTCCAAACTCTTTGTCAAATAAGTGGCCCTCCTTTTAAGTTAACTGGCCAGACTCTGGGACCCTAGACCTCCGCCATGTCATTGCTGTATATAAAGTTATCATTGGATCACTGGGTCACCCAGACCAATTTCTTAGCTTCAAATCGCTAAGACTCTCCATCCCTGGGTCTACCAATGTGCCCTCAGGAACAGTCTCATAAGTTTCTGTCACTCTTGTCCCGTGGTGCCAGATGGTGCCACCCTTCACAACTCCCCGAACTCCCCTCCACCCCTGCAGTCCTCTAAGACCCAGGGGACTCTGCCATTGATGCCCCCATGTCCCCTCCTTGTAACCACCCACCTAACAACCCTACTGCTCCCCTTTCAGCCCCTGTTTCTCCTACTCAGGTCTCAGATCCTATTCGCCTTCCCCGCCCCCCCCCCCCAACTCCCCTTCTCCTCCCCTCACACAGCCTGCACTCGCTTGTATCGGGCCTCTGAAACACACACCCCTCCTGCCACTCTGAAACCTCCCCTTCCTGGTTTACATCTCCTTCTCTGCCCCAGACTTGTATAACTGAAAGGGATAGAAGCCCAGCTTTACTGAAAAGCCCCAGGCCCTTACCAACCCTTACAAGGTAACATTGAGATGTGCAATCTGCCCTGCTTCAGCCACAAACCGGAAGCTGGCTGATCTATGCACAGCTGAAGCATGAGGATATCCTCCATGGGACTCATTTTAAGTAGACTTTGGGTTGTGGTCAAGGGAGAAATCTGTGTAATCTATACACCCACACCACCAAGGTGGGCCAAACAGTAACCACACTACTCTTCCATAGTTGCTATAAATGTGAGGGCACCCTCTTAGGTAATTGAATCTATAATCAATGGAACTGGGGTGGCCCTAACCCTTCTTGCGTGCCAACAGACCCAGATGCAAAAGGCCATCTATCAAAATAGATTAGCCCTAGACTACTTATTGGCTGTGGAAGGAGGAGGGGGTATGTGAAATGTTCAACTTTGCTAACTGCTGCATACAAATAGATGACCCGGATCTGGCAACAGAAATGCAGAAAGTTATAAAAGCCATGCTTTTATTGTAGAGAGGAGTCCGAATAGCATAGTGGGTTACGCAAGGTCACTAGTTCAAATCTACCAGTCCATCCGAGGGAGAAAAATGGGGCTTGCTGCTCCTGCAAATATTTACAGCCTCAGAAGCCCTATAGAGGGTCACTGTGAGCTGGAACTGACTCAGTAGCATACAACCACCACCAGCATTATTGTATAACTATTTCTCTGTTTCATTTTATTAGCGTTTGTTTTATGTGTTTGGGAGTTCTCACATTGGGTGCATAAATGTTTATTATGGTTAAATCCTCTTGGTGGACCCTGTAATCGCTATGTAATAGCCTTCTTTTTCTCTTATAATGAATTTTTATTTTGATTTTATCAGAGATTATTATTGCCACTGTGCTTTCTTTTGGTTACTGTTGACTTAATATATTTTTTCCATCCTTTGATCTTTTACCTAGTTATGTCTTTGTGTCTAAGGTGTATCTCTTGTAGGCAATATATTGGTGAGCATGTATTTTTATCCATTCTGCCACTCTGCTCTCTTGACTGGTGCATTTAAACCATTTACATTCAGTGTGATAACTGATAGGCATTAATTTACTGCTTCCATTTTGGTGTGCCTGTGTGTTTGTGTATGATGTTCATGGTTTCTTTATTCCACTTAGTTTTCTGTGCTGAGTTCTTTTTGCTTGTGAATTTTCTTTTCATATCCTGTTGATTTTTATTTATTGTCTTTTTTTCATTTTCTTCTTTATTTGGATGAGTAGATTTATTAATTTTATTTGTGGTTATCTTTATCTTCCTAAGTTTAAAACAGTCTGTTATGGGAATGAGAGGATTGAGAGACAAGAGAGTATTCCCATAGCAGAAGCCTGTCTGTGATTTACAGAAACAAAGCTCTGATTCTTGGTCAGCCTTCTATTTTGTGGGGATGTTTTTTCTTCTTGCCTCACTCAACAGGAGATAGCAACTTCTGCCATACAGCCAAGCTGCTACTGCACCCTCTAAAACCCCACCAATTAGGCAAGCGCTGATACCAGCTGCTATACACTAGAGCAGTATCTAAAACCAACATCTGCCAAATCCACTCTGACTGAACTGTAGGAACAGTGAACAAAGATGTTTATCTCCTGATCACACCCACCAGGAGGCATTTGGTGAGTGCCTAAGAATACAACAACATACATTCATTAACTTAATATAAATATAACAACACCATAATGCCTAAGAAACAGCAGAAAATTTCTGCTCTCATGCAAAAATAAAATAGAGTAGCTCAAACAAATGACCAAGAGGAAGAGCTAGAAAATGTTATTGAGGAAAAGAGGCACTGGAACTACCTGAAAGGGAATTCAGGAGAATGGGATTGATGTACATACAAATGTTCCTCAGAAAGGTAGAGGAAAACAAAAAAGAATTCAGAAAAATGCTAGAAGAACAATCAAACAAAATAGATACAGCACTGGAGACAAAATAAAACCTGCCAACTAATGTCCAGATGATCAATATTAAAACATCAAAAATAGACGATACACTGAATGGGCAAAGAAGTAGACTTGAATCAATGAAGGCCAGAATTAGCAAGCTTGAAGACAAATCTCTCAATACTGCTAGAATAGAATAATAAAAAGAAAAAATCTGAAGAAAGTCTTAGATTCATGTTGGACAACATGAAAAGGAATGACCTATGGGTGACTGGAATTCCAGAACAGGAAGAGACAAAGAAAATCACAAAAAAGATAGTCAAAGAGCTGCTGGAAGAAAATTTCCCTAACATCATGAAAGAAGAGAAGATAAGCATTCAAGAAGTTAAATGTACCCCAGTTAGGACAGACCCCAAAAGAAAATCAGCCATACATATCATAATCAAACTCTCCAAAACCAAAGACAAGGAAAGAATTCTGAAAGCAGCTCAGGAGAAACAAAATGTTACCTACAAAAGAAAACCAACAGGATTAAGCTCTGATTTCTCAGAAGAACCCATGCAGACAAGAAGGCAATGGGAAGATATATACAAAACTCTGAAAGAAAAAACTGCCAACTAAGACCCATATGCCAAGCAAAGTTGTCTGTTAAATATGACAGTGAAATTAAAACATTGCAGGATAAGTAAAAATTAAAGGAATTTGTAAAAGCCAGCCTATATCCCCAAATACACTAAAGGGAAATCTTTGGACTGAGAACCAATGACAGCAGACAATAACCAGAGATTGACATACTTGGCAACTCCACCCAGAATTCAGTCCAGATATGGAAATGTCCAGAGTAGAACAAAACTACAAGACTGAAATAGGAATCAGAGATGACAGACTATGATCAGGACACTGTAAGTGACTGAAGGGAAAAGTAAAATAGTGTATTATATCTAGAGATTGCCTTGATTTACTCTCCATCTGGGAGTTCTATAACTCTATGATTAATCTTCTATTCCCCCCACCATTTTTTTTTTTTTTTGAGGTCATTGTCATTTACAGATTGATATCTCTGATTCCCTGTTTTCAGTTAAGCAGCTTGATCTTACTTTTGTGAATTTTTTAAAATCTGGCTTGTCATCTGGGTGATACCGTTGTGTGTCTTTGCATTGCAGGGAATTATATGTGTCTACTAGCCATAGTCTTTGTAACCCCCACCAAATGACTTTTTCCTGATGGGTCTGGATAAGAGAAAGTGAGGGAAGACGCTAATAGGACTATATGATTCTATCTGAGTGATAGTTAACAGAGTTCATTGTGATTGTAAAAACTTGGAACTCTAACATGGGGATTGGTTGATTTTGTTATCCTGCTGGTACACAATGAACTATCTCAGCAGCAACAGGGGACATCTGCCTACAAACAAGAAAGAAGAGTTAGGAATGGAGTACATCCTTTGGACCCTGAGATCTCTGTTGAACTTCCTAAATCCAGGAGACAGAGCTGTGACACCAGAGAAGCAGCAGAAGAATGGCAGAGGAGCAGGAGCAACAGAACTATTAATAGCCAGAGCTTCCCAGCCCACAGATCCAGACAGTTGAATGCCTTCAGACAAGGGGTTCACTTGCAGAGTGTGGTGCTTCTAGGCACTTAACCAGAGAGAGGGAGAGATTTGCTGAGCCAAGAACCTCCAGACTGAGGAATGGACTACAGTGCCCTTTGGGCATTATCAGCAGGTCTAAAAAAGCTTTGTAGCTTTGCCAAAGCAGAAAAGAGGACCAAAGAGAGGCCTGTCTAATGGCATAATGGAGAAGAGACTGTTCTGATAGGAAGAACTATACCCTACACATTTCTGACCCTGAATTGTAACCTATTAACTTCTCTAGTAAACCCCAAAATCATGAGTATAGGCTGTGAGTTCTGTGTGGTCATTGCACTGAATTACTTAACCCAGCTGAGAAGCAGAGTGCTGTGGAAGGGATGGTTGATGTCAGAATTGGTGAAAGGTTAAGAGGGTGGTGGCATGTCTGGCCTCAGTCTCATAGGAACAAGCTTTGGGCTGATGATGGTGATGGTGGTTGTTCTTCTCCTCTCCATATCCCTTCCCACCCCACCCTCCCTGGTAAAGTTAGAAGAAGTCAGATGCTTTCCCCATGTTGTTATTAGTCTTAATCTCAGCTTGTTGTCTGATGTCATAGGGTCTCTGTCCAATCATTGTTGTTATCTACCATTGAGTCAGTTCTGACTCTTGGTGACCCTATATAGGGTTTTCAGTGAGTGGCTGGTGAGTTTTAATCCCCAACCTTGTGGTTAGCAGTCCAGTGCTGATCCTAC